AGGATTAGATCACCCCTAAAGCTTGATGATTCAACTCAGCATGCACTTGACTTGAAAACCACATTGAAACCCAAGTGGAAATAAAGGACAAACATAAATCTCAAGCAACAGTTTGCAGCGGAGTAGGCAATTTCATGTTCCTCTAATGTTGTTTAGGCTTATTTTGTGTCCCTCTTTGCATTGGGCTTTCATCAGATTCCCACCGTCTGTCCTTATTCCCATGTGTGTGTGAGAACAAGTGATCTAATTATGTCATATTAGTCTCCTGTAATCATCTAGGCCTTCAAAAGAGGCACCAAGGTTAATCCTATTGGAAGACCACCTCCATTGCATCTTAATAACTTTTTTTTTTTTTTTAGTAGGGCTTCATATAGCCCAGGGGTTTCGAACTCTATCTACAGTTGAGACTTTTAAACCCAAACTCACCAGATTCACTCATAGACACGTATAGCATTACTAATATTCCAATGCAGTGATTTTTGATATTGCAGCGTCTGCACATGATCATGGATGACAAATGACATTTCATGACGAGTCAGTCCAATCACTGTCTGAATCGTGTGCCAATAGTTGCTCCTTTTGCTTTTTCCTGCTCAATTCCCTGAAGTAAGAGATCCAAAATGTGATGACAGCCTCCCTATGGCTGCAATATATAGGCGGCTTTTCTGTTACAAAGCTCATTTATTAGGTGTTGCTCCCTGTCATAGATTGGACATGTAAGGACACAGAGACTCCCAGAGCGCTGATTACTTTGGGAACAAAAGCGAGTGGATCCATCTGTGTGGCCTTCTTCTTCTCCTCAGACTCCACGCCAAGATCTCTACAGCACAGCGTAACTCGACCAGCCAGAGCACGTGTTTATCAAACAAAAGATGCAGTTCTGCCCCGGTGTCTTGGCTGATGTAAAGACAAGGGTGTTAAAGACAATGACATGATGAAGATGTACTTTTTTGTTCTTGTTGTTCTTTTTTTTTTCTTTTTGAATGGCATGTTTTACATTCTTGCCCTACAGCAAAACTACGAGACACTGCGGCTTGTCTCTTTAATCTGTGTGTCTCTTCAGTTCTGTCTAAGTGTGTATTACATTTGTTGCAACTATGATTTAGCAGTTAGAATGCATGAGAACATGATGAGTGGCACCACAAGTTCGAGTCTCGTCTCTGTAATAGTGTTCAACAATAAGGATGGCCCACTGGCTTTTTGTAAAGGAAAAAATATTTTGAAGGAAATTCTTGTACATTTTCTTTGTGAAGAAAAAATGTAAGAAAAATGTTACAAATTATAATTATAATAAATAATAAAAGTAAACATAAATAATAACAACAATGAAAAATAATAAAAATAAATAAAAAAAAGTATTGGGTCCAGTGAAAATTTTGGCAGGGCGAAGCAGAATCAGAACTGGGCTAGCTGAAAACATCCTTGCATAATTTCTCCTAAGATTTCCTGTCATCTCTCTGCTAATAATTAAGCAATAAAATATTAAGGTTGGACCTATTGTGTATGTAATTGGGCTTAAGGAGTGTTGCTTGTCATTAAGGACATACAGGACTAGAAATATTGGTTTTGAAATTGGCAAAAGGTAAAAAAATACTGTATCAAAGTCATTGGCCTGGGAGTGATAATGATGGTTATTATGGTTGTTGGAGTGCAATATGTGTGTGTGTGTTATTTTCTCTGCATGAGATTGTTTTGGACTGGTTAAAGAAAGCGTGAGAGATCAGGAAAAGTGGGCGGAGACTTCAGGGGTTCAAAGGAAGAAGGGGAAGGACTCGTTTGTTGGGAAGGAATGTAGTTAAGGAGACAGGCTGGTTAGCTGGAGATGGTCTAATTAGGGGGATGTGATGGTGAGAACCTTCACAAAACCCAGAGAGGGTCAGAGATTAAAGCGCAATCTTTATCTCTTTGTAATGTGCCAGATTTTCTCTTTCAAAACCTTTTTGAAATGCATGCTTACCTGCAGACCGGTAAAAGTGACCAATTTCCTGCCACAAACAGGTGCCCTGACTTACCTGAGTGGAACCTGCAACCAGCTTCACATGGTTGTGGATAGCTGAGATCCAGTGCCTATCAGGCAATCGGGCGTCTGAAGAAGCTTTTAAGAAGCACCATAAATTAGACAGCTTGCCTCCTTCACAGTGTCTTGACCCTTGTTTCCCTTCCGCCCAACTCTGATCTTAACACAGCAGAACTTCATGATGTCCCGGACTAGATCATTTCACTTAGGCCTAGACTACGTACGACCTTTTAAGATATATATATATATATATTTTTTTTTTTTTTTTTTTTTTTTTTTTTTTTAATCGGGCGTCTGAAGAAGCTTTTAAGAAGCACCATAAATTAGACAGCTCTCAGTGGCTCCTTTTAATTATGTAGGCCAGCGCATCACCCTGTTGGTGTGGCTCATGTAATTTCACTCTGCCTGACGTGCTATTTGCAGAGTCACAACTTGATGACATGCTGGCACACTGCCCTTGATATGCTATGGCAAGGCGGGGCGTGGGAGGATCGCTGCGGTGGTATTGCCTCCTTCACAGAGTCTTGACCCTTGTTTCCCTTCCG